TACTCTCTCGGCCGGAGGTATTCGATTCATGGCAAATAAAAATTAGACGGTCGACGATGACACGCGCTTTAAAATTTGGCAAAGCCACCACTAACGTATAATTCTCGCAGTTGTGCGAGAAGTGGGAGAAATGACATCCGGCAATTTTCGCAAACGCGTGTTGAATTGTTATTTCAACGATCGAAAACAGCGTTTATTTGAGAATCGTTACTTACGTACCGTTTGGTCGATCATTATCCGTTATTTAATAGATAGATATTCGGAATTTTAATTCTCGAATGTCGTTACGTGGGCCTGGCTTATTTCTCAGACACGCATACACGCACTCGTTACGTGATTCGATATTATTATTCTAATTGCCGTCTTGTTAAAATCTCGTACGTTCAGCAGCCAGATAACGAACGCTTTGTCGGATCAAAATGGGCGCGAAATAAAGCTGACTGGCGCGTTGCGATTGTTCCGCTTTAAGTATCGTTTCGCATTAGCCACGACGAAGAAGCGAGCAATTTAAGTTATGGCCTGGCCCGACTGAGACTGCTCTCTTATCGCATTAACGTAGGAACTCCGTAAAATGCAGAAGAGCGGAGGGAAAGTACTCGGCTACACAACCGCGTCTAACGTCACCGTGTTCATTACAACGAAGGATCTCGCCAAACTCACCATTTACATTATGCTGTCGCATGCAACACTTGCCACAGACGGTTGGATACATCTTCCAGGATTGCTCCTGGACCGGGCTGACTTGCTCGCTCCGAAACTAAATAATTGCCAATTATGAAACCGGACTATGACACCCGCGGGTGAAGCTTACATTTAGACAACAGACATTAATTCCCGATCAGCAGTCTTAATTAGTTTGTGGAGAAGAAAAGAAGCGCGGAGAAATAAAAGTATTAAACTGCAAATTGCGCGGAGCAGCGGCAGATGCTCGCTTCAGATATCGCGGGAGGCACGTATCGATTTCTTTGTAGCTCTCGCAAACTCTTACCAGATAGAAGCTTAGACGCAATATTCCCTTTTGCAGCACCCTATGCCAGTGCAAATAACTTGCTAATAAGAAAAGTCATTTTCCATTAACGCGATTTATGGTCACCCAAGATGCAAACTACTGTGCTCTCCCTATTTGATTAAGGATTTAATTGAAATATCGTTTCTCACGGCAGAAAATGTTTCGCAGATTGAGTTTCCTCCAGGGTGTCTTTGCCTCTGATTGTTTTACGTGATCGCCTACGCGAGAGAATCTAGCGGCGTTACAGGGATTAAAAGCAAATTGCAGGCGCTCGTGCATTCGAAGAGAAAAAAAAGAGTGGAAGATATTAGATGGATAGAAAAATATTTAACAGGTACATCAATAGGTACACATACGTGTGCACAATAATCGAATTTGGAACGGATTTTAGATGACATCAAATAAAATGTCTCCCATGTGACTGAAGTGAATTTTACGCGTCATTTGTCGCGATACAGTACGTGGGTGGTGAATAGTAATCACTTCACGAATCAATGAGGAAGGTCACGCTGTAACAATAATAAAAATATTCTTACCGAGAAACTAGGCGAGAAGATAGGCGTTAATTGCGAATAAAAATTCGGACATTTCACGCTTTAAATATATACGATGCAGAATCGATTATACTCGATTATACTTACTCTTGGTCTCGTCAAAAAAGGAGCGTGTGATATTGAAATGTAGGAAATGTAGTGTAGGATTCGGTGATCCAGGCGCCTTCCAAACCTATCAGAAAATGGCCAGAATATACATGGAAGCGCATGTATATCGACTAGAGATGTACGAACTATTTGAATTCGAATCCGAATCCCTATGATTCGAATCCGAATAATTCGAATAGGAATCAAATACGTTATCGTTTGCACGCATGCACCATGCACGGGCCATCTGGGCCTGGTATGTTTGAGCCCTTAACTTGTAATTAACTTAACTTATAACCAATAACTTAATTATAAATTACTTTAAATATTTAAATATATATTTTACTTCAAGGTGATATTGTAATATCATTATTCCCTTTCATATTAAAATCTTCCATTATTATTTGCATGTTTAATAGTCGTGTTAAATTTTTTAATAATTCGATTCGATTTCAGTCGATTCGATTAGAATTGGAGTGAAATTTCATAGATTCGATTTGACTCGAATTCGAGTTTAAAAAATGAGATTCGACATCAAAATTCTCAATTCGCGCATCTCTAATATCGACAAACAAAATGCATATTGCAACCAACAGCATCGTGATGTACACTTCAAACTTTATAATGGATATATCGCTCTGGTGAAGAAACGAAAGATAATATTACGTAACGGTAAGATGGTAATCCAATGCGATTGACTTCTCGACAAGTTTGGTGCGCGTGCAGGTGAAAACAACTAATTCTTCGTATAACTGTCCAACAATGTTGAATTTCGAGACCGTTGGCAGAGACCGTGTTAAAATATGTACGTGTCTGACGAACTATTTAACGAAAAAAAGATTTCTGCGTGAAACATCAGATAACGCACAATGTACCAAGATACGTTTTATACGCGTAAGGGCAAGATCTAACATTGTACAATAAAATAATCGGCAAGGAATTTCAAGAGAGAGAGAGAGAGAGAGAGAGAGAGAGATTATCATCATTATTACATCTCACACTTTAATCACGACAAAAGTCGAACTATTTTGCTCATGCATTTTATACACCACTCATATATCGTCATGCGTTGCATAATACGTATGTGATCAAAGAAAACATGTTTGCGGCGACACACAAAAAAACAATTTCTTCTTGCGAGGAAAATACGCAAATAACGCAATCTTGCGGGAATTTCCACTCAGATTTGGCTTTATCGCAGCCGCAGCGACGTATCCAGTGATAGCAATGATCTCGTAGACTCTCTCGTTGAGTCATCAGGTGCAATTTTATTCGCGTCGCGAGTTAGTTAAGATTCACGTACTTCCGAAACGTATACGCTCAGGGACTTCCCGTAGGATATCTGAATTGGATTTCTTTTGCCACGTCGCGCGCGATCCTTTCCATTACCGATGGAATTCAAATCTTTTCCGAGGCTGACGAGAAGAGAAAAACACTTTCTTACTAAGTGACTCGCGGATGCTAATATTATCGTACATTGCGTAATGTAACATTATTCGAATTTCTTTTGTTTTGTGTCTCTGTATACGCTGTTATTGCTGCGGACAAAACCACGTGGAAACTACGCAACCTTTGGGCGAAATTGCACATATATGACGCACAAAAAAGGAAACGCTTTTGTAGAATAAACCGTTTGCGCCAATAATCGAATTTACTGAGTGGAAAGAAAAACGGGCATTTCTATTTATACACCAAAAGTGACAGAGCCTTTAGTTTGCAACAAACTGTTGCGGAAAGAGAACGAAGTTACAAACAGAGTTCTAACCGAGTAAAAACTCGCACGAAAAATGAAAATGACAAACAAGAGAGTGTGTAAAAAATAAAAATACAAATAACTTCTGAGAAAAATTAAGGAAACACGTTATTGTGTGAGGAGAAAGAACAGAAGAACAGTGCCAGAACAGTGCACGAGAAATATAATACTTCTTACCAGACGCATATTCTAGCCTGTCTTTGAACACCGGAGGGGCTTCCTCGCAATCGAAGATATCGACACGACTATGACTGGCACGAACCAGAAACTTTTACTAGGACATGAAATACAAGGCGGCCGGTTTGAGGCCGTTTACTCGTTGATACGGAAAAGCTGTATAAGACCTCGAGCGAGAGAACCACGATATTCCCTGAACTCGAGACTTCGGTGTTCGCCAATACGTTGGAGATTCTACGGAGTGTCTCACTCCTCTTAGCACGCATGAGGTGGTAGAAGCTGACCATAAATAATTAGCTTTATTAGCGGTTATAATGATATGTAATGTGTAAATATGGAAAGATGGGGACGTCCAGATGCGTTGCAATAGTAGCTAAAAATGAAAACTACTATCGACATGAGAATATCTGGCCTGTAGCATGTAAACATAAACCTAACAAATATTCCGCGTCGTAATGAAAGTTCCGCTGAAAACAACATTTATATTTCGCTTATTTAAAAAAGAATGTACGAGTTGCTCGAGCTAGATGAAGCAGGAGATAAAAGCATATCGCGTTAAATTCTTATTTAGCGTAACGCGCTCTCTCTGTTAAGTATACGCGTGAAGATTGCGTCTCATTTTCATCGTTTCGTTTCGTTAGAGTATCGCAAGAAAGAGGTAATAAGTTAACGTGCCGAGTATAACGGTCAATAATTACCTTCTCGCCACTAAGTCCATAAGGCGTCCATAAGGAGCGACATTTTATAGAGTTTCACGGATTGGGGTTATTACCCATACCGAACAGCTATCCCAGCGAAATATTTTATGGAGCAGTTCAGTGGTAATGAAGGTGTTTACATGCGGGCAAGAAGGCGTCTCGCCGGGCGGTAGGTAATTAGGACACCCTCGTCTACCTACGCGATAGGCATTGCTAGAGGTAAATGCAGCCGGGCGCACATGGAGCTGGGTGGCGCACTCGTTATTTCGGGGCTTCCACTCGCCTAATGTATTAGCGTAATTAGCCTTATCAGATCTACAGACAACGAGGAGTCACTCGTTTATAAGATCGCGACAACAGAGATATAACCGCCTGGAATCGTGGCCAAAGTCGAAAGTAACGAAATTACGCGGGCTATTCGCAATCCGAACAGAACCGCAAACCGAAAGGAACACCTCGGAAAATCGTATTTCGCGTGTAGTCCAAACAGCCGGCATGCGTATCGTCAGATCTACCAATTTTATACCTACCAGTCGTTTACACGTTAATGGAAGAAGAAACGCACGAGAATAACAATCGGTAAAGTAATGAATCAGAATTTTCTTCGTATAGTTTTACTCATATTTCGTAGAGATATACATTTTTCCAACGAAGTATATCGTGCTGCGTTGCGTGGTCAGAAATCGCACAATGAAGGAGCATGCGAATCGCACACGTCAATAAATTATCTCGGGCATATCAGTTCTCTTAGAGTATGAAGTCGATTTCAAAAGATGCTGGCAGAAGTCATCGTTTTGTCTCATCACTTCCCGATCTTTGGGTTGAAGGGTCCTTGACCGGGAAAAGTTGGGAATTTTTTCCAGCCGCCTGGAGGCGGTTGTTGAGGCGGAACCCTGAACGCAAGAGCGGCCATCACTGCCAAGAGCAGAGTAAAGATGAACAAGTGGAATTTCATGTTGTGTTTCCTGAGAACATGAAAAGAATGCGTATGAATATCAAATTATACGGCAAGTTGGTTGGTGATTAGTTTGTAAGTTCTCATATCTTTTGAAGTATTTCTGATACCAGTCCAGTTTTCAGTAGTAAAATAAAATAGTCGATATAATCCACAAATTATTATTTTACAAAACAAACCAAAGAGAAATGGTATTCATCGTGAGATATATTGAAACTTTGCGAAATATAATAATCAGGTGAGACAATGTATGTCCGACTTACGTTCTTTCGCGTCTGCTGCGTGTTAAAGAGGTGTGATGTTACTCTCTCCGAGTGTCGCTTATATACTCACATGCCATATCTTATCGAGCGTGCGCGAGTATCCGCATTTAATTGTGTACATGTGCGCGGGACTCCACCGTATTTCGTTAATGGGAAGTACCGACTCTTATCTCGCCTGCTGATTCATGTAAACGCGTCGAACGTACACATGTGTACGCGGAAACAAAGAGGCTGTGAGCATCCCCGTTGAATATTACATTTGCACTTTCAATTCTTTCCGTATTTTCCTTACCAAATCTGTCGCTCGTACGCTTTCGCGGTAAATCAAATAATGTCGAATGACGGACGTAATAATATCGTCGAGTGACGACGATATTATTACAACACGTTCGTTGTAAAAATACTAAGAACTCGTATAATCTCGGTAAAGTAAAAGGTTTCGAATAAAAATATTCAATTCTTGCCGGCCGAGAATGATATCACGCGCGCGGAGTGAAACGCCAAACGAACGTATGCGCGGCGCACCGGCGCAAAAATTCGCGAGGAAACTCTGCGCTTTATTTGATTCTTTTAGCAATCGGCGGACCGAACCGACTCTGAGAGTCTGCAGCGCCTTACCGCCACTCCCATAACCACCCACGTCCCTGCAACCCCCCTTTCCACCTGCACGATTGAACGTGAGCCCAACATCAGAATAAAACTACGACGAATTCTACCTCCATCACGTTAACGTTCCTCTTCCATCTTCTATCGCAGAGACCATTTATTTCGATCGTAACCAATGTCGTTTCGCAGTTCACTTCAAAGTGGAACGAGCTGCTTCGATCGTTATAGTAAAACGCGACATCATTGACGTTACAAGATAACTCATGCTAAACCAGTGGTTCGTTTTTTCTTCTTCTTCTTCTTCTTCTTCTTCTTCTTCTTCTTCTTCTTCTTTTGCTCAAAGAACATTCGCAAGAGGGGAAGCGCTGATATATTGCATCGAGTATGCAACGTTAGACTAATATCCATTTGCAGCAATGTTCGAATATAGAACGCATCGCAATTACCCCAGATAGTAAATATTCATACCGTGGAAAACGTTGCTCTGACGAAGAAGAATTTACCTAGTTTTGAAAACGAGTGAGTCACTTTATCTTCGGGCGTATTTTCGTGACAGGTTCCAAGCGTTTGGATTTACGAGCAGATACGGAACTCGTGCTGCTGAACACAATCTCGCCGAGTTCTCGCAAACTTTGAACGATAACATCTATATTATCGTACCATGATAAATAATTAAAGATAATCGAGATGTACACGAGAATATTAATGAATATAATTGCAGACTCGAATCACTCGTCTTCATTCATTACGAATAAATATGTAGAAAAGGCGAAAGTGGTACGATATATATTGTTTATTGTTGCACGCTTATGCCGCACGTATAAGAGATTGTTCCACAAACTCGCTCTAGAGCGCTAGATCTCTCATTGCATCGACAACCACGGCAAATGCGCATATTTTGATCTACGAAGCTGCGTGTTAACTTTTGTTCTCTTTTGCTTCCATCGCAATTTTATCGGAACTATAAACGCTGTGGCTGTCACTATCGCCAGTAAGAACACGACGATGTACAATAGTCTCAGTCTCATATTGTACAGCTCTGGAAATATAATCTTTTTTCAAAGAGCGCAGAATTAGACGTGACGAATCGCAATCGTCGATCAGTCGACGGTAATATTGACTTACGAGAATTTCCAAGTACGTATGTATATCCAAGTATATAATTAAACGGCGCTGTCGCACTCTCTCGTCCGGCAAATCTTACGAAGCCCGTTGTGTTTAGATAGAACTTTAAGGCAATATTATTTCAGTGCGAGGATTGATGTTCCGCGAGTGGTCAAAGCTCGACTGGACCAACACTTGATAGCTTCTCAAGTCTATCCCTTTCAGTCTTACGATTCTCCCTCTGTAGTATTAGACCACGTTTCATGGCATGATAGATGCATGTTTGTGTCACACAGACGTCCGCACCTCTTTGTCAAGCGTCTTACTCTGTAACAAGCGGATATGCTTGTTTAACCGATTTGACTTTCGCATACAGTCTCGCGCAATAAGAACAGATTGCGTGTACATATACAACGCCGCGTCATATCATTCTGCCGATGCCGATCTATTCATGGCACAAGTGAAGCGCACAAGGGACACTCAGTTTTACGACACATGTCGTATGATACGTATATCATAAAATCATAATAGGCGGAACTGACATTATCAATCAACGAAGCTTTTCCTCCACACCATTATCCACTTACGTTGAGCAATAATATTTGCGTCGCTTTGTCTCGACATGCTTGCAAAAATCGAGTGCAACCTTTGAACCGCATTCTTGCAGGACAGCAGGACAGTACAAACTGAAACGAGCTCGTATTCTGAATATAAATGTATATCGAGTATACTCGAATCGACACGAATTTTACAGCGAAATAAATAATGGAATCGCGCAGCTCGACCAATAAAATCTTAGAACGATATCGTATGTAGGACCTTTTGCAGGCGCTTGCGAGCCAACGGTCCTGAATTTCCTTGACGTGGCGCGCGCGTTCGTACCTATCTACGGAAAAACGTGACGAGTATCATCGACTTTCGGAAAACACTTTCGTCCAGGCGCACTGCAGTTTCCCAGCGGCAGCTTTCGCTGGAGCGGTTGCGACTCTACGTTACGTCAAGAACGCGCATTCGGCGCGGAAACATCCCCTACCCCTTCGGCCGATAGGAATCGACGGGCGGAAAAGGAAGAAATAGTGAGAAAGAGAGAGGAGAGGACGAGAGAGAGAGAGAGAGAGAGAGAGAGAGAAAATAGAGGTGCAAAAGGGGGATCGAATACAGCCGTGAGAAAGACAGGGAGGTGAAACGACGACGGTCGCTATACGTGGCCTGAAACTGGCAGGCGAAGGGGGTGAGCGGCTCCCTCGGGAGCTTGCTCGGCTCCCGCGCGTTACGGCACCGTCTCCACGGCGCGATCTATCGCCCCATTGACCGCCACTCCATTATCAGGATAGTAATGCCGTAACCCCGTATCCGTAACCCTGCCCTACTCGTGTCGCTCTGCGCCTTAGCTTTACCCCCGGAATTCACCGCGAGGTCGTCCTTTCGCTGGTTTATCGGAATAACCCTTCGTTACAATCGCCCGGAGGAGATCGCGAGAAATAATCGCAGTCCGTGATTGACGGAGGAGCAGAGGGAGGAGGAGGTGGAGGAGACGACGACGGGGAAGCGTCTACGGCGGACGCGATACGGGACGCACGCAAAAAAATAACTATCCTCGTTAAAGTTTCCTCACGCCTCGGAGGTCGACCTGAAGCTGTTTCTCATCTTCCGTCTATCGCTGCTAGATGCTGGCTGCGGCTGAATCCCTCCTTGAATCAAAAACGCTAAACGTCGGATGTTTCTGTGTTCGAATTGTAAAGGCAAACATACTGCGCCGTACTTCATGAATTTTTGATCGAAATATGTGCGTAGTCATGCGCGCATTGTGCGCACGGTCGCGATAAATATTTAGCGAATTTACTGCCAGCGGCACGGTATTGGTTTTTTCGCCTTTCGTTCGCGACTACGAGCGGCCGGGCTTCATTGGAAAGAATAATCGCAGTAATATATATAAACGCGCGCGCGAACGCGCGGGCGCACGTTAAAATTAATACAAGCACGATGATAAGACGAAATTTCGCTCTTTGGGCTGACACGTTATCGCGCAGTCGCGTTGAGCTCGAAAAAAGATATTACGCGATGTCAGCATTATAAAGAAAGCGAAGAAACATCTTGTCCGAGCTTGCGAAATCTGGCATCGCCGTGTCACGAGTCGTTTGCAGGTGCACCTTGCAGTTTATGGGTCCAAATTAATTAAAGACCGCACCTGATCTCGCAACGAGTTGGAATCTGCTGGTAATTATGATGAAATAAAACATGACTTCTTTACCAGCCTTTCACTGCTGAATTAACTTCCCTTGAGAAAATTACTAAAATATTTGGTAGTCCTACGTTTTTTGGGTCGCTGATTACGAATCTAAAGTCAGATTTGCAAAATGCAAAATGGCGGACTCAATATGGCGATCATGGTGTGCAAAATTAATGAAAATTCCAATTATTATTAAATAATGACCAGGTCGTAATAAGAAGATATGATTCTAGACGATGGAATTCGATCGAGCTGGAAAAAATTTATGTGGCAAAATGTTCAATACTCTCTAGTAAGCATATTTATGCTTACTAGAGATTAAACATTCATTTTTCAGTAATATTTTTGAATAATACTGATAGTATGGATAAGATGGAGGGAGATACAGAATGAAAAAAACTAGGAAAATAGAGCTAAAAAGTGCGACAAAATCAAATTTCGGCCGTTTTTGTAGAAATATTTGTTTACAAAAAGAGATCTAATTTGCTGCAAAAAATACTGAAAAAATATATGTTTTTGTATAACGTCAGAAAAATATTTGGTGAAAATTTCAGACTTCTACATTGAATACTCTCCGAGGAGTCGATTTTTCCCTAAAAAAAGCATTCTTTGTCAACTTTGATTTGTTATAATTAATAATCACAAACGAATAATTGGGTATAAAAACCTGCTGGAGTATGTTGAACAACTGTTCAGTTATCCGCAAAACTCAGATCCCCGATTAGTTCTTCAAAATTATGTGACTTACAACGCAAAATTGAATCGAGAAAAGGTGGGGTTAATGAGAAGTATACTTCCCATTAACAGTGAAAGGGTTAACAATTACAAAGTCAACGGAAACGGCCGTTATAAACTGAAAGAGAGATACGGAGAGAAAATTATGCAACATGAGGTCGAATCTGTGCACAAATGCGCATGGATATTTTACGTGAAGATATTGACACGGTGACACCGCACGCTTATCCGTTGATCGTTTCATCCATCAGAGAGCGCTATCTCTCTTTGGAAAGGTAGCGTTTTCCGTAAATGACAAAAAAGAAATCACTTCGATCGGTCTCGCCGGCATTCAGATGACCCTCGCTGCGACTCGAGTTCGCAAGACACCCGTCCAAATCGTAAGAGCCCGCGCAAACTCACGTCAGAATATGTTCCGACGTTCCTCACGGACAGTGCTATCCGCACTCCGATCACGTAGCCCAGGAAATCTCAACAGATAGACGCAAGCCAGAACATGGACTTACCTCCAAGCAGCTCAAATGGGAATACACCTTCGTTGCCGTCCGACAGTTCGACCCTGTCGCGAATGAAGGATCGCGTCAGCGACTTTCGTGATAAGACGCGTACACCACTCACGGCATCCTAATTTTTGCATTTCAGCGATATCGCCCGCCGATAACGGCTCGTTTGAATTCGTTGTAACGGCTAACTTTCTGCTCCCCGTTGGATTCCTTCGAGTCTTTCGACCGTCGGAAGTCGGATTCGCTCGAATTTCGGTACAAGGATTATCAACTAGTCGACTGTTCTTTGTGATATGTATAATATCTCTCTGAGAAATGGAATTTTCAACAGCCATTTTCGGCTTGATCGTTATTGAAGCCCCACCGTCAATAAATAACACAGGTTGCTCTCATGCTTCTGAAAATCATCGATATTAGCTCGAGCCCTTACCGCGATCAATATATGACTGCCTGAACCCCATCTCATGAATATATTGAATACGAGCTTCATATTAAACGAATAAAACTCGAAGCAGCTGACTTGCATATACAGGGACGTGGCGGCGCTATGAATGTTTGTTGAATGACGGTGTTAGCACGCACGTGCGCAGAGAATTGCTCCTGCGATTTTTACTATAGATTATTAGATGCGCGATGAACGTTTTATTTTAGTGCGTCAAACGTCTGCTTGCACGAGTCCGAGTTTATGATCACAATTGATTCCGTGATTTTTTCGTCTCTCATGCGACCGGAATACGTCGGTGAGACATTACTCAAAGCAAAACGTGAGCGAGATACAGCTGCGGCAACCGCCGGCGATTTATAGTGGGACAAATACAGATGGGGAACTTTTCGAGGCGTAAGACGTCGGAGAAATGCTTTCGGCTTTCGACAGGCTCTCTCTCTCTCTCTCTTTACCGGCCAGCCTGCCTCCGGTTCGCCGCATGTAAAATAATAATGGGAAATCGAGCGAGAATACGTCCGTTCGATCTCTCACACAAGTCTCTGTGATACCGTTGTGTCGCAGACTTGAACAAGATAGCATAAAAGTGTGCCGCGGGAGTAAAGAAAGCGCTCGTTTACCTGCTCGTACACGACCGTAACATAACATCCGATATGTGGTATTTGGGTCAGATACCGAGAAAGTCAGTTAATTCCGCGATATTAAGAATTATCCCTGACGTATTTTTGCGCTGGATGAGAACGGATACGGGCGATCCATTACGTTCCCGCCGGAACGGGAAACTTTTGCGGGAGGAGGAAAAAGGCTTGCGATAAGTATTACCAAATACTGAGAAAAGTACAACAAATAAACGTGTGCTTTATTATGCGTCACGCGGAAGCTATTTTGAAGCTTTCCGCAATGTGACATAATTAAACTCACCAAACTTGGCCCCCGTCGAAATTCGATAAAGCGTAATTTGTAGCATTAACAGCCGCGTCTGCGTGCGTGGATACACGATTAAATCCTATGCGACTGCAATCCAGCTCGCGAAACAGAAGCGCGCTCGTTCCACCCATCCGTCTCTAGAAAATTGTGCAACAAATTGAAATGCCCGCTGTCCAGTCCCACCCCATCTGTCCGATCCCCTTTTTTCACCCTTATATAATGGTGTATTCGCAGTAATTACTAGAGTGGATCGTAACTCCAACGAATCGGGGAAATAAATGAAATAGTAGCGTTTATTTGACAATCCTGTGAGAAAGTTTCTCTACGCTTCATTGCGCGATGTAATTGATAATAATTGAGAATGGTGCGCGGTTCTGCTTGATTGTAAAC